ATGATTCATGCAGTTCACTGCCATGGTGTTCAGAACCCCTGAAGCATCCAATGTCCCAAACTTTATTGAGACTTTATTTGATTGAACATGCATCCCATGATGCCAGTTAATCTACACAGCAATTCAGTTTAATTTTTTTTACTTTTTACTGATTTGTTGTTGTGCAGAATGGGCACATTTTGACAATAAACAAGAGAAGTGTCAAGACCAAATGTTATGTTTTATAAAGAAATAATCTCCTTTTGTTCGACAAGATTCCCTCTTATAAGGCACAAATCAAATTTGGCACTTTTGGCTAAATCGTGCTAAAATGACAGCTCAGGTTTTGTGGTGTATTCAAAATTAATAGTTTCTCATAATAATTCCTCACAATTAGTGCATTTTTTACAATATTAAAATATTTATACAACCTCTCTGTGTCTATAGAAACCAACTGCAGCTGCACTGGAATCTCTTGCATAAAACATAACACCTTTCATTGTGCTACGTTCTTTTGATAGCACCCACCTATTTCTCCATAGGGTGTCACTACAGTTCTCATCTCTTGTCCTCCACCTCATTACTCTCACCCATCTTCGCCCTACACTTCCTGGCCTCATTATTCACTTCTATCCTCCCTGCTCCAGGTACCATGTTAGGACTTCTAATGCCTCGTTTCCACTGAGAAGCATGGGTTGGTACAGTTTTGTAGGCTATTTTGACTGTTCAAAGTAAAAGTGGCCCATACAGCCGACTGGTACCGACTGGCTATTTGTGAAACACTTTCGCTATTCTGAATATATATACATTTATTTACATATTATTTAGATTGTTTTTATCTGGAACGGAAGTCCTGAATAAACCTTGAATAAACTCATTTAGTGTAGGTCCAAAAAACAACGGTACCATATGGTTAAGGTGGAGCTACTAGAGCCACACAACACAGTTCATTGACTGGAGGACAGAAAAATGTCTCTACTACAAAACATGAGACATTATTGTGTCACATTTGTCATCACACTACTGTGATGCTGCGCTAGGTGTGAGAGTCCAACTGGTGAACACACAGGACTTTGATAAAAAAAACTTCATCTTAATTGCTTTGAATGTTGGAGAAGGCAAAAACTGACCTGTGGTAAAACTTTACAGAAATTCTATGTAAATTCAAGCTTCAACAATTTATTAAATCACTGCCAGAAGCTTCTTGCCTCATGTAACAAGGTTTCCACACGGTAGTAAAAGGTAGTAAATTAAATTAGCTCAAATAAAGGCCAGTAAAAGGTAGTAAAAGGTAACAAATAGAATTTGACTTGTTAGTTAATTTTTCAATAAACATTTCATGATCCTTCAATATATGTATTTAGAATTTTACATTCATGATGACTTTTTGTTTTAAGTTCCTTTAACTATAAAATCTGTATTAAAAAATGATATCTACTCCCAGGACCTGAGCTGATGTTAACAGACTCGATTGGTTTCGCTGTCCGATCTGCTGTGCGCATGCGTAGTGTTGGAAGCGCCTAACGTTTGAGACTAGTGAGTCACCATGAGAAAATATACGTTTTCACGACTTTGCCTGGATGACCAGGTGACAGAGAATCACTTTGTAAAATATGCAGAAAAAAATATAAATATGACCTCGTGACTGCGACCAAACCGAGCGGAGCATCTACCGTTCATTCGCAGCAGATTCCTGCGCCGGGGAGCAGATGAAAAGTAGGAACTTTTTTACACTGAATATGGGAATAGAAAGATGGTTAAACCCTTCTGGGTTAAAGCGGTGGATTTGCTGAGTAACTGGTTGGATGTAGCGGTTCCACTGACACTTGCCCTATGCCTGTTAGGAGATGGAACCCAAATTACAGAAATGGGTAAGGCAGTAAAGTGCCCTACCCGTTGGCCCAAAGCCGATGGTTCCCTGGCCCCTCCTGTTCCGGCGAAGCTGCGCAGATCACTGCCAGTTCAGATTTGTGGGAATAATGCATTTAGTGCCCACAGGTTCTATTTTTTTTCATAGCACATGCTCACTGCATGCTATAATTAGCCCTAGCAACAGTTGCCATGCTGCTGACAATGATGTCATCAGCATGATTTCAAATGATGTCTGTGTCATGTGAGGCCTCAAGTCTCTTTTTGGACAAAAGTCAAAAAAACATTGTCCAACAAAGTTCATCCTGGACAAAGAAGCCCAGATTACAAGAAGAGAAACTTTCTCAGTGAACTTCTGTGGGAAGTGATCGAAAAGGCTGCAGATGGTCCAACTCTACATCTTGTCAGACAAAACTTTGAGGAACAACACAGCAAAATTTTGATATTGCTTTTGAGAAAAACTGGAGAATTAAACGTGGACGTACTCTCGGAGGTATCAGAAGAGCTAAGTGAACGGATTTTCCAGAGTATTGCAAGAGATGCATTCCACTTTGCCTCTGGACTGCATTTAATTGCACTAATGGATTACCCAGAAGGACATGAAGTAATTGTGGAAAAATTCAAGCGTCACCTGGAGAATCCTGTTCCTCCAAAGAAAATGTTTAAGTCTACAAAAAGAAAGATTAGAAATACTTTTTTTTTTCCTAATGAGGACTTGTACTCAGATGAAAACTGCCTGTGTGAGGATTTTACTAAGGCAGGAATGGATCCTGAAGAATTTGTGAAGGAAGCGAACAAAGATGGGTTTCAAACGTGGAACCGAAGATGAAAGGAGAGTTATGGTGGAACAAATTCTTTGGAGATTAATTTATAAGTCCAGTAACAGATCTAGTTATGCGGCTTACAAAATGAAGCACACCGAACCTGAACATAAAAAGCTTGCTCCAAAAATCTGGTAGGAAGTAAAAGACATAGATTTCGTCTTTTTTGAGAATATGGAACGAAAACTCTGCCGAGACATCTTGCAACTTCTCTAGGGCAATGAAGATGTGGTTAGAGAGTTGTTGTTCAAGATGATCAAAAGTGACAACCCAGTAGTAATTTACAAGGTGGTACAGAGCTTCAGAAGGAACCTGGCACGACCGAGAAAAATACATCTTCAAGAAAACTTCCTTCAAAAGACATGGAAGGTCATCAAAAAGGCTGCCTGTTGTGGAGACGCTTTGGACACAGAAGAGAGGCAAGAACCCGAGTCAGGACCTGCCTCTGAGACAGGACCTGCCTCTGAGTCAGGACCTGCCTCCGGGTCAGGACCTACCTCCG